TTAACAAATGGAGGTTGGGTTCTTTGTCTCTTTATTACACTTGAAATTTACTTCTCTGTAATACTTAAATATATTTTTTATTTGGTGAGATGTAATGCTCCATTCTTAAGAGACTCTTCGTGTGACTGTGAAGCACTGTGAGAAATCAATGGTTTTACTTATGAGGTGATGTGTGAAATATTAAATTACATCTATAGTGGCAAAGTTGAAAATCTTGAATCGAATACTCTTGAGTTATTAGCTGCTGCAAATAGATTTGATTTGAATGGACTGAAACTTATGTGTGAAAACAATTTCCTCCATGGATTAAATATTTCCAATGCTTCAAGCCTTTTGTTGACAGCAGATGATCACGATGCCAGCACATTGAAAATAAAGGTCATGGAGTATATTGCTTTGAATGTAGCACAAGTGACGGAAACAGCAGGATATAAAAAGCTAAAAGCTACAAGACCAGATTTGATTGTTGAAATCTTCAGCTCAATGGTAGATATAACATAAAAGTTGAACATTTAAAAACATTTTTCATTTTTTCAACAATTTTGTGATAATTTATTGCAAAAAAAAATTCATCAAGAAACTGGAGCATCGTTCGCATTAGATATTAAAAGAAAAAAAGTGTGTTGACTTTCCTTTTTCATACTATTAGCCATATACTTATGCATGTAAATCATTGACACAGTATATTTATTGAGTTATCTGAATGAACGATGTTTTTATCCCATTATTTGTCTATCTTATATACTATTGTATACTTTAATGATAATTAGTATGAACTTCCTTGTCACTTATTAGTATTTTGAATAAAGATATCAACTCTTTGTAATGCATATTTCAACAGTTTATTTTTATTCCATTCATCTCCCATTGATGCTACAAAATTTTCAAGATAAAGAACATTTTAATGAAACAAAGCCATCACAATTCAATAATTAATTCTCTAGAAAAAATTTCCGCGATTGTCGAATTCCGGCGCTTTTGAAGAGGCAGGAATGATTCCTTACTTTCCAGATTCCGGAGATTGTTTGGTCGTTAAATTGCCAGTACTGAAAGACTTTAGCTTTGATTTCACCAAAAACATCAGCCAGTACGTTTGGTTTACCAATGTTACTGGAGTATTAGGATCCCCAATGATTTATTTTTACAACCCGGAACATAGTGAGCTGGGAAAAGATAGTATGCGCTTCTGCTTCCAAAAGGTGAGTTGTCTTTTATTTCATTTTATTTACGGGTACATTATATATTCCATCAATAAAACTTTGGATCTAAACTAGTGTATTAGCATAAATAAACATTTAAAAAAATTTCAATTGAGCCAGGCTTAAAGTTTTCCAAAAAATTTTGAAGACTAAATCATCTTTAGTTACTTTATCATCATGAGGTTTAAAAACCAATTCCAAATAACCCAAGGACACAACGTATAATAAAAAAGCAAACACTAATCAAGGGCTTATGAGTGTTATCAACAAATTTAAGAGGTACGTAGTTACAGTCACGTTTTGGTCTCGGAGAAGTAAACAACTCCATTGACGAAACTACCTAAAGACGCATTACAAATCAAATTTCAAGTTATAACATTAGATTATGATAAGCAAGTACCATCACCAATAGTTAGCTGTGCATCCAATTTATAGGAGTAAATACAAGTATATTGTAAATAATTTTATTAAAATCAGTTTTTTAAAGCTATGTAGTAAAGTTTTTAGAGTTTCTAAATTAAACCTCGCCACAAAAATAAATTATCCTTCGATTCCTTAAGTGTATACTTATACATTTATAGGAAAGTGTATTTATACTGTTAAATAAAAAAAGATGAATCTTGCAAAAAAAAATATCTTCTTCACGATCATTTTATTGGTAAGTACAATTATGTGTAAAAATAAGCCACAAAACTATTATTATTATTATTAAATTTTTTTATTTCATAAAAACTTTTAATAAATATTTTCTATTACTTTTTGTAATAATAGTATAGACTTTGCCACTGGCGCGCATCTCCTCCAGGGGAATCACTGGGACGTTTGTTATGATAGCCCTGGACCGATGCGCACCAGGGGAAGTCCCGTTTTTTTTTTTT